ATTTCCTCAATTTCGTTTGAAACAGATAAGAAAATATGTGTAGCGGTGTAGGGTCTCAAATATCTAAATTAAGAAAGGGCACTGTTTAAAACTAATAAACCATTCCGGGATCTATTTTTATATAGGTACCTACGACTAAAAAAGACGAGACATTGTTATTAATATTTTTTATTATTCTAGTAGTGTATCTATCTATGTAATTCTATATACTAATTACATTTGTAACTGATGATAAATCCGAGTTATCATGTCTGTAATAGATTAATATCTACATACCTATCTAGTACCTACATACTTGGTTAGAATATTTCAATGTTTATATAAGCATATGGATGCTTAGGAGCGTTTCATCTTAAATTTAGCAAAATCTGCAAAAAATTTGGTAATTAGGGAACTCTGGTAAAATGGGCGAGCACAATAGGTACATCTCTGTAGGTCGCAGTGCTACTGGTGTAAAACAAAGAGCAATAGCACAAACCTCTAAATAAAAAACTATACGCATGTGTATTATAATTAGGTATTTGGAATTGGAAGTGCATATATTTCGTTAATTTTAAACACTATACACTTATTGTATCTATTATATTATCAGTAACGTAAAAAATAGTTAGGTATGATTTATTGCCATGTGTTTGTGGAAACCACATTTATAATTAACATTTATTAAACCAAATTGGTCCATAGACAATTTGTAACAGCCATAACAAGCTCATGTTACGTCATGTCATAAATCATAGCTTTATTTTTTTATTACGATTCTGCGGCAAAATGTGTGCTAATTGACGTTTTCCTAGTTGCATTAGTTATGTTGTTTGAATGGTTTCATATATATGAAGGGTAATGATTTTTTTATGTGGAGTTTGATGGTGATAGACAAATGCGAGTATGTATGAAATACCTAGTTAAACGCAACTAAATCCTAAGAATGTTAAGCGCAACTAAGGCAGTATTATAGTAGACACTTTCACAAAAGTAATAATTTCGAGTGGTCTTCAGCATGTCTGATATTTTTTTTGTTAGACGGCTTCGATGGTCTAGCGGTTTAGCACTTTGCCTTACTTTCGAAGATCGTAGGTTCGATTTCTTGTATGGATGTTTTATATATATATGTATTTACGAGAAAATATATATATCTACATATATATTTGTATCAGTTATCTATTAGGTACTCATAACCGAAGCTTTAGCTAGCTTAACTTGGCTCCAGATGGCGATGTGTGAATTGTGCTGAGATTATTATTATTAATATTTTATTTCAAATAAGAGTCATACCAATTACATAAAAGACGCAAGTAGGTACCTGGAAACGTCTTTATAACAAGCTGTTATTAGAACTTTTCTTAATAATAAATATTAGGTAGCTAAGTTTAAAAATGGCATCAATGATGCCATTTTTAAATGAATAATGATTCACTACTCATTCACGTACGTAAATGTCAATGTACATACGTAAATGTGATTTTATTAATTATTCATTTCATTTAAATGACAATTTTACAATTCCAGGAAAAATGTGATTTCTAAACGTATGCATGCATTATATTTTTTTATTTGACCGCAAAATACCCAAGTAAATCATATTTTCAAATTCCATACATATTTGCGTCGGCATCCTGATGCGTATTTGGACCTCTTAGCAGAATTCCAGATCATTTGTTGAACGAATATCGCATTCCGGACCCTTACACGTGGAGCAAATTATGTACCGTGTCATTAGTTAAAAAAATGTCGCTAATTAGATGGATATAGGCGCAATTTAACATGGGAGTAATAGATGGGGAAGAATTATTTTTTATTTACACTACAGCTTAATGATGTAAACTAAATACTATAAAGTAGCTGAAGTACTACTTAATAGCTTTGTAAATTGTGTTTTAGTTGAAGAATGAGATAAGGTAGTGAAATTACAGGGTACCAAAGTATGGCATCTTAGCCTTCCGGAAGCCACATCACAGTCACATGATAACTGTGCTGTTCATGTAGGAATATAGATAACGGTTACCGTTTATCATCAGGTAGCCCAAAAGTTTGTTTCGCATTCCGATTACAAACAAAAATTATTGTGTTAAGAAAAATACAAATTAAGTAGACACGGGTAAAGTTAGAAGCCAATTAACTAAGTATTATCTGTGGTATTATATAGTTTTTGCTATGATTCATTAATCTTCCGCAACTTATAGGTACTACTATACCAGTATCCAAGGACGATAAACAACCATAAAAACATGCACTTCAAAATCGATTATAGTACCTATTTCTTATAAAAATCGGAGAATTTAACATGCACATGCTGAGCAACAAGGTTAGTTTTGTTTCTAATAGAAGGGAATATAGGGTATATAATATCTACCTTATTAAATAAACTGTATACCACTCTTTAGTTCGTGCGAATAGTTTAAATTATTAATTTAAACCACTAATTAATTACTTTATATGCTTATAAGCGACGGTTAGTACCACTTCCTGATAAAAAAAATACTACTCGTGTTTTAACTAGGAGTAATCTAGAAAATAGGTTCGCTTTAACATTTTTTGCCACACAGTATTATTTACTAATGTGGCTGTTATCATTACACTACCTTACTTTGTAAAATATTATATTTTTTAGTTCCAATAAAGAATGATTATTATTAAAAAAAATATATATTATTATTATTATTTTATATTCACTGTTCATAGGAATGCAATTTTAGTACTGAAGTGTTTCCTTTCTAGAAAGAGCGGTAACTATTGTTGATATGAATAACAACACGATTATCAAGATGCCCTTCATGCATTGCCATTCATGAGGACTAAAGTTGTGTCCAGACAATAGAACATTTAAGACCAATCGTAAAGTTAATGTAAATTTTTCCGATTAGTGATTGGTCCACTCTGATAACTGTGACTGATTTATTTTGTAACTAAATAAATAACTTTTATATTAACTATTTGGCAGTTTGTATTCACACAAAATCATCAATATGTAATACTGAACTTAGATACGTACATTTTTTAATCTTCTAAAACGCTACATATCTATAAGTTTCTTGCTTGTTCTTCCCGTGATGAGTCTCCTTTCCGAATAGAATAAAAAATATATATATGACTATTCAAAATTGCTCATATTACGTTTATAACTATTGTATTTGACACATTGACTGCATAATAAGACACCTGAGTGCGTAAATGAAGTAAAATAAAATATAGAGTCGCTAAACAGTACAGTGATCGACAGTAATTAATATTGTATTTATATTCCAACTTCCTTAATAATTTAAGTAACATGAAAAACCAAACACCGTCAATATTTAGACTATTATGGACCATTACGTTAATATGATACAATTTTAGACTTAAACCCACTCGTAATAAGGCGTAGAAAGATGTAACCGTCAAATTGTACGGATGCACTATTTTTCTTCGCACCCTACGTAATTAACTGTCTACCCTGCAGCATACTAAATACCTATTTAGTCGGAACTATCGAGTTAGAACGAGAGAATAATATTTTAATGCGAATGTTAGAAAGTGATAGATAACACTGGGGTAATAGACATCACCCTAGTCTTCACGGCTGGTTATGATTTTAGGGTGAGCGTATGTGAGTTGTGTCACCCTATTTGAGGGTTATTTTTGGTAAGCGACTGTGAAGTGATGGGAAGTTGTTTATTTTTTAAGTGAACATTATCTATTTAGTCTAAGGAGGGTAGTTTTTGTGTACTTAAACGTCAATCATAGACACGGTTGAAAGAAATAAATAATTACGTACAATTTATTTTTGTAAAATGCAATAAAAATAATTAGGTACCTTTATCATTAAAATAATACCGTATCAGATAAGACAGTGAAATAACACCAAGACCTCTTAGTCTTCCGGAATGGCAACATGTGGGCTTTATCACGGCATGATAACGTGATGTCTGTAGTGCTATTCATATATACCTAGGTCACCATACCAGGAGGTGGGCCATTAGCTTGTTTGCCATTCCAATTACAGATACACGTAAGTAGCTAACTCCTTATTTATAAAAAACAATACCTAATATTTTAACTAATATTTATTTAATTAATAAATTTAATTTAATAACTTATATTAATTTTCCTGTAAATAAATTTGTAGTTAGCGCTACTGCTTTGTTAATCAAATTAATAATACCTTAAAAGATTAACATGTAACACTTCAATAAAAATGTTAAAGAAAGTTTATTGATGTGTTTGAAGAGTTTATTACTTATTACTTTTTATGATACATCTAATTACTGTACCTATATGCACATATTAAAATTTATAAAAATCTGGATATCTTGTTAATATATTATATATATTACCTAATAGGTATTTTCCTAGATTAGTGAAGGAGAGATCAACATCTTGCCGTAATTCACATACAGTTCTAAAAGGCAGAGTTCTTAAGAGGAACAGCTACGATTGTGATAGCAACGGTTTTTATGAATAAGATAGATATAATAATGCGAAGATAAAGATTTTTTATAATATGTATATGACGCTTTGAAATGTACAAGTTAGTATGCAAACTCTATACAAATAATTGTCTCTACCATCGCACTAAATCAGTGAATACTAATTTGAAACAGATCCGCAAACAGCAAATATCGAAATTCACAACGTCGCCCCTCGCCGACACTAAGCTCATAAAGGGAACAACTCGAGAATCGCTCAAAAGGATTTAACAAGCGGCATTCACGACTGCTCATTATATTTTTATACTTTATACCTCGGTGGCGGACATAAACTCCGCGATCAAAACGCGCGAACCCCTACAAAAGGTAATTATGTTTTGATTCCTACAAAAAAAAAATCGAGTATCACAAAGGAGACTAACGAGATAAGAGCGTGCTAAATCGCTCTCCCCTCGGCCCCCGCTCGGATCAATTCGGGACAGAACGGTCGATTGGCTGAGCGGGACGGCTTCATCGTGGAGGCGGGATGCATCATGGACACGCCTCCAAACCGGTACGAGGGATTCGTACTCTCCTCGGCCGACAGTCAACCTCCGACCGCGCTCGAATGCGTACACGATCCATCGATCGCGACACTAAAGTGTGAACTGTGCTAAATGGAACTGACCGGCGTTCAATGTTAAAGAAACCAAGTTACGAGGACAAAGAAGTGAATATGGCGATACAGAGTGTTTCGAGATACCCAAGCAGCCCGGCTGAAGCTACCGAGCCTCCGAAAGCTTCTAGAATTAGCTTCAGCGTGGCATCAATTCTGGCTGATACTAAAGCCAACCAAATCGATGAAACTGCAGAGATGATCAGGCACCATAGGACGATACCAGAGTCTCCGCTAAGACAATCACCATCGGCGCAGCCTGAATTACCCGGCGGAAAGTCGTTGTCACCTAGGCCGTCGTCTCAAACGCCTCCGTTGAATCTCAATGCGTCTGCGACGGTCACTTCATCCGATGATGAATACGAAGATTCTGTTAATCAAGAGGATTCAATAGTTGATGTAGAGGATTTGCAAAACGGTGGACAGAGCGAAGATGACGAAAGAATGTCGAGTAATGATAAGGGAAGATTAGTGAAGCCAACACCTTTCAGCGCACTAGCGGCGGCCGCTGTGGCATATCATGGGTTGGGTTGGCCGGGTCCACCATCAGTCGTGCCTTCGTTTGGTCCCTTGTTCCAGTCACATTTTCCTGTAGGACACTTAACAGGTTAGTCTAAATAATTTTAATTTATCTAGAATTTTGCTATTTTTAGAAGTTGTAGGTAATTTGTTTTTCTTTAAGTTTATAGATTTCATTATTGAGGTACCTACATATTTTTATGTAGATTTTCTTAGAGTATGTACGCTATGAATATTAATAGTAATGATTATTATTTATATTATATTACTTATAAACGTTTCGTAGAACGTCTAGATTTCATACATTCTATTACTTTCCATGTATGCATAATTATATAATCTTTTAAATCACTAGATAGATATATAGAGATATTAATTTATTTATTAAATCTTAGTTATGAAATGTACTTATAGATAGCTTATAGACATTTACAAGAAAGTCATATATAAGAATTTGTTAGCAGTCAGATTTATGCTACCTTAAATGTTGGCCTTTTTAATATATGTAAGTAGGTACCTACTTACAATATTTGTTGGATTTATTTACTGTCTAATGTTTTATTAAAAACTTAATTCTATTAAAATAACAGTTTAAAAATTTAACAACATTATATAAAATTTTAATTTCAACTAAAATTACTTCAGTAGATATGTGGTAGATACTATATATGTATCTATCTATATGTATTAAATATTGTGGCTCTACCACCCTAGACCAGAATATTAATGTTAAACAGAGGGGAGGAGACTTGTCTATTTTGTAGTAGGACGTAATATGGATAATTGAGTAGGTTGGTATTTGTAATGACTATTTAATTAACGTCTCATTAATAGAATGAGTACATGGAAAGATAAACATCACGGATAAAGTAAATATTTCAGAATACAAATATAAAGTAAATATTCTCATTGTGGGTATAATGGAATATAATGGCGCGAATATAAGCGAAGATAAGCGAATATTAAGGTAATTCATTTCGGAGTGTAGGCATTTGGATCTACTTACATTGTAAAACACCAGATGTTATAGATAAAATGTTAATGTTTCATTGAAAAGTAGATTTCTACTACAGGAATCTACACGTTACGATGATACTTTATATTAGTAAAATGCTAATATTTTGTTGTTAATGCTATTTTTTGTTTTTTCTTATTTGAATAAGTATAGTACTTAGGTAGGTATATAAATAGATTAGAAATAGTATATGTCATAGCTTTAATTTGTGTAGATAAATAAAATCGCCATGATGGTATTTTCACGTCTCATAAACTAAATGAATGCTACGTATTCCAAATTTAAAATATAAACGGTTTTATGTTCTGTACAAAAATAGGTATATTACAGGATATGATTGTATGTTTTGGTAGGTATATTATTTTTGTAGGCCAATTGAAAAAGTGGTACCTAAATATATTATAATCTGCAATAAGATTTTCAACTTATGATTGAATAGTAAGGTCATAGAGTACCTGTTATTTATTGAGTATTATAGTTATAAATTAAATACTAAGACATTTATTTTAATTTGATCATATATATCTTAACATCTAAGGGCGCTAATTATATAATTAGGTATGCATTCAACAAATAGATGAACATTCGTTATTAATTACTTGAATTCAATTAAGAAAATAATTTATACTTATAGGATGTGTACCTATATCTAATACCTACATTTTAGGTACTTATCGGGAACTTATGAATAAATAACATACGTACTAATCGTAGTACCTAAATATTCAGTTTATAATGACTATAAACATGAATTAACAGTTATTCATAATTTAATAACAAATTAATTTCTAGGAAACAACAATGTGAAGTCCAATACATATGTTAATTATGAGTCCTTTGTCATTTAATCAACGACAATAGAAACCACTAAAATGATTTATGGACTCAGATAGGTACCTACTCAGAAAACAATTGCAGTTGTTTCGGTATCAATAGGTATATTCAGTATTGTTGAGTCCTACATAGATATTCCTTCTTAGATTTTTTACCTGTTTATAATCTGTGTTTTCTATTTTAAAGCGCAATTATAGATATTTAATATTCTATAATTGCGCTATAAGATCTTATATTTTTTATTAAACAAATTTAGATTATTGAACAGTCAAGTTTCTGCGCTATATTTATCTATATTTTGTCGGGCTAAAATTTTCTCAGTAGTTATATCTTTATGACATATCTAGGTAGATATTGTTATTGTACCTATGTAACATCTAATTCCACGTATTGTCTGAATATTTTTGAGGTTTTTATTAATGAAATTCGTACAAATAATAAAAAATAACATACTTTACGATTTTCATAACATTGTACTTACAACACAATCAGAAATAGGTGTCGGTATATATTTATTACCTAATAGTATACACTAAGTAAAACGCATAGGTCAACATATCTAATAGATAAGAACCTACTTTGTTACCTTTAAATCACCATTCATTGCTACTGTAACAATGATAGGCATTTGCCTAAGCGACCATGTTTCGAAAATCCACTAGTCCTTCGTGAACAAACAACCAAACAAAGGTCTAAAGCCGTACATAAATAACGGATCTGTCGAAATGTGAAAACAATACCGCGGCTTTGAACAAGATGGCGGGATCTGGCCAACATGGCGACTATTTTGCATAACGTGTCGAAAGGGTTGACGGTAATCACGATGAAGGTTAAATACACCGTTCATATTGGTGCGTTCGATATTCAAATAAAAAATATTAAATAAAATATCATTGCGAAATGTAAATAAGTATTATACCGAATACATACATTTTATTACATATATACTTAGGTAAACAAGTTCAATGGATTGAGGCCGTCGTTTTTTAACAATAGTACCACGGATATCACAAAATTAATTTATGGCGCCCGTTTCAATTCCTAAGGCCTGAGGTGCAATGCGCTCGTATTATGCAATCTGATTACTATATTTTACCCTTTAGATCTGAACGCAACTTACAGACCAAGCTGCAGGGCGGTAGTTACTTGTATACTTAGGTGAGACAGAGTAGATACTTACCCACGCAGATAACTTTGCGAGTACAAAGATATTCATAATTTCTAATTAGTTAGGGTTCACACAAGCTTAATTATTCATTCCTATTATTGGTATTTTCTTTTATATAATTATAAAAAAATATTAACTCTATCTATGATATCAGCCGTGAATGACGAAATATGAATATTCATACCATAGCATTAATTATGAAGTCATAACAACAGTCATATCATAACATTGCACTAATAAATCCTTTGTAGGCCACAATATAGTACAAAATCTTTATAATTACCTATATTTATTTATGTATTTTATTTCATTTATGTCTAAAATCGCTCTTAAAATGTAGTGCATTAAGGTTGTAATTAATTTTACTCTTCACCCACAGAATATGCCTACTCTTAGTCCATTGCTAGTTGATAATGACTTACACCATGTTACCATTGTGCCTTCACACACGTTGAAACGACACGGATATGTAATTAGAACCTTAGGGTACTACTAATTAAAGGTAATTTTGTTTTGTAAATACTATAGGTAGATATAAGTACAATTAAACATACATAGGTAGATAGGTATTTTGAAATAAATAATATGTATCTAGAATGTACATTCTACTGAGGTACCTGATTATTATAAACGAAACAATTATCAAATTAATTTTATAAAGTTAGTTGTGAGGTGTAGTCAGTTAAAAAATTCGGAATCATAAAAAATGTAACGAGTTTTATTTATAGGTATAAACAACATATATAAAATGTATCTCTAGATAACTTATTTGAATAACGTTAATTTCAATGGCTTTATAATTTAATTATCTAGATGCTATAAAGCTTGTAGCTAATATTTAAAAATATTTTAATATAATCTTTTAACTACTGTATAATTAAATGAGTAGGTATAGCCAGATGTTCTCCTCATTTTCGTTAATAAATATAAATTAGTCGACCGCAGTAAAAATAAAACAAAGGAATGATGTCTTTGCCCTAAAAATTTGCTCATTTTAAAAATTAAACAAACCATAAACTAATTTGCGGAGTAAAAATGAAAAAAATATTATGAAAAAGCTCATGGCCACGCAATCAGCGTTCGTAACGACTTCTTGTCACGAATATATGCTTTCAAATAAATTATGTTTACTTTTAGACAAATGTGACATGATTTTTATTACTAGCCATTTTTTACGACCTTAATTAGCGTTATGTACCAATTACGACAAGTAATTTTTGGGCATTCATGAATAATTTCTATATTTATTATTTAGTTATAGAAACAAATAAATACTAAAAATCTATTAAAATATAGCTACGATACCTTTTCAGCCGCATGATATAGTGGCACTTAGTAAAAAAATAAAATTACAAGCTATTAGCAAACCGCTTCCTAGAAGTAGAATGTACGGAATGATAATATGAGTAGTAGCTTGATGTCCTGTACTTTTAACTATTTAAATCTGAATTAGTGTATTAAAACTAATCCACATTCATTTCACCAGTTTTATAGCCCAAATTGATATGCAACCAGCTTCCTTGCAAACGCGGCCATAGACCCACTGTTCTAATTTTAAAATACATTTTAGCACTGAATATTATTTGTAATTAATATGATTTGGCAGATTCATTATTTAAATGAGAATTTAATCAAAAGCAACTGTTTGGCATAAGGGATTGTCTATAAGTGACGTTACTACTTTTGATCAGCTAGACTTTCAGCTTCAACTAAAACTATAACAATTGACTTAGTTTATTTTATTCAGTTAGGTTAGGTTAGGTAGTAAATTAAACGGTAGAATTTTTGTAAGTGACTTGTAGGTTACAAGTTAGGTACAATTCACTTACAAAAAATCTCCCTATCCTTCTTTAAAGTAGGTATAAGGTACATTTTGAAGTATATAGGTAATATAGAGTCTCTACGTATAACATAGATATTTAGAATCGATGTTCCTATTTAACCCATGATATTGATATTATCATTAGGTTTTTATAAAAAAAAAATGTTACTGCTTTATAAAATTTGCCATCACTATGACATCGTCCTGAAATTGATTAAAGACAATAAAATTTAAACAACAACACAGTGT